GGGGGGGGAAACAACCAATTTGAAGGCTGAAGTGCCAAGAAACGGAAGATATGGGAAGTCCTTCGGGTGCTCACTGCGACGGCGGCAACTCAGAGAGAAGTGAAATGGCAACATGAGAACACGGGATGATGAGTAAAGAACATTTTATTCTGTGTAATGTTATACTACTTAAGGTCATTATATTAATAACTTATCATCATATTAATAGCGAGAACTTCGCATCTTTTTATTTGTTTCATTATCTCGAAAGAGAAAGCCGACGGCGCCCGAGAAAGTTGCCGAGTTTCGTGGCAATCGCCATACCAGCGAAGACCGCCGCCGCGGATCCCCTCGTCCGCACTTCGCCTCCGCCTCGAGGATCCTCGGGGTCTTCAATGAGGGTATCGGTCGCTCTTGAGATTCCTGTGGGGCCTGTGATACCATCGGCGGGAGAAGTTCTTGCCCATCCCCCAGACCTCCGGACTCCTCTCGGTCTGATACTCCCCGAGCGGCTTCCATCCCCGCCGGCGGGAACCGTTCGCCCCGCCCTGCGATCCTCCGACGAGCAACAGCATCGCAGTCGCCACCGTCAGGATGCGGATGTACCACTGCAAGAGGACGATCGAAGGGGATCGCGATTGGATGCAGATGGATCCGAAAAAGCCACACTTTAATATTTTCGGCTCATTTTATTGGCTGAGGCTCTTCCTTTTTTATGACACAAAGTAATGTTTCCCGTCGCATAGAGAAAATGTGATCTTTTGAGCCTCGAGTCTCTCATTTCCGTTAAGTCCCTATCCGTACGGCAAGCATAACAATTCTTCAAGATACTTTTAAACTTCGTTTAGGTTTCCTTGGATCTGACCCGATTTCAGATTTCAATTCGATTGCATCGGATTTCAGATTGCAATCCGATTGCATCGGATTTCTCTGGCTAAGGTTTGCACTGCCATCTGCTCACAAGCTCGGAAGTCGACAGGGATCGATTTAACTGGCGGGGAAAGCGGAAAGTTGAGACTTCGTCCGAAGCCTCTCATCTTAAGTGACTTAAGTTATTTCCAAGTTCCTCAAGTCGTCTCTATTGTCCAGCCGCTTTCCGGAAAGGTTTCCAGGCCCGATCGAGATTGGGTAGATTTCTTAAATTGTATTCTATTTTGAAGCGAAAGTGAATGATTACTCGGAAAGCGGTAGAATAACTTTGTTACATCTATTCCATCCGAATTTGAACCGACCGGTATGTTTTTACGGCGGCAGATGAAATCTGCCTGTCGCGAGTCCGGAGGAACGAAACTTGGTATTTCAATCTTCTCAATGGAGAAGTGGAGTTTCTTATTAACATTGGTTGTACAGGGGCACTATATTTGCGGTCGATATTGTAATTGGGGAGGGTTGTGTTTCGCAAAGGGGTGTATGCAAAGCTCGGCGTTTCAATGAAGGGTCACTTTCAAGGTTGACCTCGAAGGAAGAATGAATGGATCTCCAGAAGGAATACATGTATTGCGGGGGGGGGGCGAGGGGGGGCGAGGGGCGTGTGCTGCGAATCGTATGAACTAATCTCATCTTTAAGGTGGGTGGGTCATGGAGGATGACCATGCAACAACAAGGAAGGGTGCCGGGAAAAAAATAGAGTGGTGGAGAGGTAGCGGGGTGGGGGTGGGGGTGGAGGTGGAGGTGGGGGTGGAGGTGGGGGTGGGGTGGGGGTGGGACGATCTCTTCAAACTTTCCTCGATCGTCTCGTCGAAATTCTTACGTGACGAAGACGGAGTTATATCCTAAATGAATAGGAACTAAAAGACCTTCCTACCATAAGATAATCGTGATCGGTGAGCGGAATTTCGAGCAATAAACGAGGAAAGAGAGGGCAATATCCACTCAGGCTCGGGGAGAGCGCTCGGTTTTCCCTTGGAATGGTGTGTTTGCTGCGTAGAGCTATTTCGCATTCAGGATGTACTTCTCGGCACGATGTATCAACGTCTTCATGAATACTTCATTATGGAGGGGAATGGAGAGGCGAGGGCGCTTTAGGTCAACACTGGGATATACTCATGAATACGTTTTTCCCTCTAGCTCTATGAATCGGAATTCCGTTCTACCGTTGAAACCAAAGAAGCTAAAATGAAGCAAAAGGGAAAACTCACGTCGTAAAAGTACATACTGCCGATCACTGAAGCGACATGATGTCTCGCCAGGCGCGCGGAGGGCACTGCATCCAGACCGGTCGGGCTTGCCGTCTACCTCCCGACATCCTTCCACTCGCTGCTGCGACAGTGGGTCGTTCGAGGCGTGATGGTATCGCGGGCGAGACGGATGGGTTCTCTTGTCGGGCCGGACAATGGAAGAGAGGAGGAACGGGGGATTTGGTTTCTTCCAGATGGA